CATATGGTGTCTTCTCAACCTTTTTGGATGGAACACGGTTAAGTGTGTAAGTTGCTGTCAATAGTACATGTCCCCAAAAGGAGTTTGAAAGATTGGCGTGACTCATCATAGATCGGACCATGTCTAACAAAGTTCAATTTCTTCTCTCAGATACACCGTTAAATTTTGGTGTTCCTGGAGGAGTGAGTTGGGATAGAATCCCACATTCCTTTAGATAGTCATCAAACTTTAGGCTTAAATATTCACCGCCTCGATCTGATCGAAGAACTTTACTATTCTTACCTAGTTTTTTTGTACTTCATTCTTAAATTCCTTGAACTTTTCAAAGGTTTCAGATTTGTGTTTCATTAGATACACATAACCATATCTAATGAAATCATCAGTAAATGTGATGAAGTATTGAAAACCTCATATGGATGGCATGTTCTGTGGTCCACATACATCAGTATGTATGAGGGACAAAAGATTGTTAGCCCTTTCACCTTTTCCTGTGAATGGGGACTTTGTCATCTTTCCAATTAAACAAGACATGCATGTCTCATATGATTCATAATTAAAAGAGTCCAAAAGTTCGTCTTTATGGAGTTTGGAAATGCGTTTCTCATTTATGTGGCCTAAGCGACAACGCCAAAGGTAACTTGGATTCATCTCATTAGGTTTAATCCTTTTAGTATTAATGTTATAAATTGGAATTTCAAGATCAAGGACATACAGTCCATTGTTCCTATGGCTAAAGTAGCAACCTTTTCTCCATTTCCAAATCGTAGGTCAACTTCATCTTTTGCCAAATCTCTACTCCTTTTTAGCCCCTGCACATTGGTACAAATGTGAGAACCACATCCAGTATCTAATATCCATGATGCAGAAGTAGATAAATTAATTTTTATAACAAAAATACCTGAATTTGAAGTCTCTACTCCATTCTTCTTATCTTCCAGGTACTTTGGGCAGTTTCTCTTCCAGTGTCCGGTCTTACCGCAATGGAAGCAAGTACCCTCTTTTGCTATGCCTCCACTAAGCTTCAAAGTAGGAACAATAGGTTTAGGTTTAGAAACTTACTTTCCTTTCCCTTTACCAACCTTCTTGGTGGGCCTTTTGTTCAACTTCTTTCCATTACTGACCATCAGAATGGACTTCGCTTTTGACTTCACATTTTTCTCAGCAGTTCTTAACATGCTTAGCAACTCTGCTAGACTTTTGTCCATGTCATTCATGTTGAAATTCAAGACAAATTGATTGAAGCTCTCTGGAAATGATTGCAAGATCAAATCAGTTGCAAGTTCCTTTCCAAGGGGAAACCCTAACCTTTCAAGGTTCTCCACATACCCAGTCATCTTAAGTACATGGGGACCTACAGGGGTTCCCCCATCTAACTTTCTATTAAAAAGGTCATTTGAAACCTGAAACCTCTCATTTCTTGTCTGCTCTTGATAGAGCATCTTCAGATGTCCGATCATATCGAACGCTAACATGTTCTCATGTTGCCTTTGCAACTCTGATTTCATGGTAGCTAGCATAAGGAAAGTAGTTTCATTGGCTTATTAACATGCTTCTTATAAGCATCTCTTTCTGCCTTAGGTGCATAACTAGAAGGTTCCACTTAATGAACAGGTGTCTCCACGACATACAACTTCTTATCATGCTTGAGGAAAATCCTCAGATTTCAGTGCCAATCCAGAAAATTTGTCCCAGACAACTTTTCCTTATCAATGATTGATCACAAAATGTTGTTAGAGGTGTTTGTTGTCATGGTAATCTACAAGAAAAATATGAAAATATAAGTATAATTAAAATAACATATTCAATTAGGCCTTTAATCAAATATTCTCCCACTATTTTACTCCAAACAAATGACCCTCTCCATTTGATTGGGAAAATCCCGTTGGAAGATTTTCTAGTGGGTCGAGATCCATGTTTCACTTTGTTTTAAGTCAACGTTAGGCTGATTACACAAAACTAGGTTATTTAGGTAAGAACTCCTTCAAATTGTATCCCATTCAACTCTCAAATATTTTCAGTCGGGTGAATAACTCCTTATTATAATCCATCATATGAATCATTCCCAACTCTTGCTTCTAAATATGTATAATCTTATTATAATTTGTTTAGTTAAGTTTGACCCAATGTTTTAGCAATTGGATATTGCATTTATCCCATCGCACCTTAATAATATAGAACATGCACCTCGTGTTAGACGAAACCTACAATGTTCGATACTAATCTTGATGAGTGCTAAAACTTGTAAAGAATGAACTTAATATTCTCTTCGAGGTAATTTGTTATTAGTTTTATCTAACCGACTTAACATGCAAATCGTCTCTCACATGTATTAACATACAAACACATGCATCAACATACATATAAAAAGATACAGTTATGGCCCCTAGCGCAATTGTTCTCCGAAGCCAATGAGAGAACCTAAGTTAACCTAATAGTGATTTGAACTTCTCCAAGAAAGATCTCCACGTTGTCCTCCTTTGATATTGTATTCTTATCTTTCTTAATTACATTACATTACACAAAAGAAAGCTCATTTTACATATGAGGGAATGAGATGAGAAAAGAAGTTACATCAAGAGATTAAGATAGAGGCAAGACACACATGGTGTATTTTAAAATCCCCAAAAAAAAAAAACTAAGGCCATAACTGATCACCACAAGAGAACAATAATAAACACATTTTTATTATTAGTTTAAATTCTGTTAATTAAATAAACCAAATTAAATTTCCACGATTGATCATACAACACAGAGTTAGTCGGGGGTTCCACTGCCCGACGCAAAATTTTAATGAATAATTAATTTGAAATCGGCATCATTTTTCGCACAACTCTTGTGTATTCACAACCCTAATCGCATAACTCTGCGACAATACAACCCTTGTGCCGTCATGAACCCTAAAGCAATAATTTCATACCATAAAACACACCTCGATTGATAATTCAGTATTATTGGTCAACATGCCATTGCTTTACCATACTAACGTCGAATTCCAAAGCAAATGAACAATGATCTCTCAAAGGAATAACAATCATTAAGTGTTTGAATGAACAAAATAGAAAAAATATATTCTATATACCATCTTTGCATCAAAATTACTTATATCATATATACAATGATCGATCTTATTTGTGTAACCTTGGGATGACCGATGTATCGTTGCTTCACCATACTAACATCAGATTCCGAAGCATAATCAACATCAATAATCCAAATCATACACAACAAACGCCAAAATTTAACTACTTGTTTATTATTCTATTCATTTTGTGTTTTAATCGAATCCAAACAGAAAAGACAGAAAATAAACATCTATTAGATCCATGGTTTTGTAAGTGGCAATTCATACCCTTGATGTTGTTATCATGAGCGTTGGTGAAGAACAACGCCCCTATTCAGTCCACACGAACATATCACTTTTGGTCATAGTGCTAGCTACTTACGAACGAAAGCTTTGAGTGAGAGAGTGAGAGAACATACATCTAGGATTTCAAGACTAAATTTTCATCAAGTGAAAATGCTTCAGCATAAGGGTTCTATTTACAATCCCTTGTGTGGACTGCAAGATAAAATCTCAATTAAGGCTGCAAGCTAAAAGCCCAATTAAGCTTACGGGCATCATACCTTATGATGTATCATATATCACTTAAGCATGTGGTACCTTACCACATTTTATATTCTACTTAAGTGTATCATACCTTATGGTGTTCTATAATTCTCTTAAGTGCACCATACCTTGCGATGTTCCTTATTTACTCTATCTCTCATCAGCCTGTCCTTATGTGTGTGACTCTGTAGGTTTTCCTGATGTTGGAAATTATATTAAATCACACATTTAACATAATAAACAATGAGATGTATCTAGCAACACATCACTGCTACCCAAGTAACTAAAATGTCATGTGATCGGAAAAAATCTTTTTGTGATAATATTTGTATGTACAACTACCCTTTTGCCCTTATGTCTATATTGAACACAAGGCATAGACTGTGTCACCCTTGTCCAGTTCAATATTGGGCCCTTAGACATTTATCCTGTTATAAAGGATAGACAAATTCCATCTAGGTCACTCATGTCCCTCAGCATGCTTTATAAAGTACCCATCAACTGTATTTATGGTCATCCAATTACATATAACGTTTGATCAATAATAAAGTACTTAACTCTACATCTAGGGTCCATTGTGGTTTCAGGTCGAAGGATGGTATACACCATTATCACTATGAAAATAACTTATGACACCTTGCATAATATTCTATGTAGTATTCTCATAGCGGGTCAATCCAGTATAAAAATTACTCCTAATATTCATACCTATGTCAAGACTTGATAACTCCTTATCCATGACTCATGAGATGCGATCATCAGTCTATCTACATAATAATCTCAATGCTTTAATGTTATCCCACTCCATAATAAAGCTCCCATACGAATACTTTAAGAATAGTGTCCTTATGTTTAATGAGATCTCATGATTAAGTCACACTTAATATTTCATTAAACAGACAAACTATTCTAGGGAATTTATTATTTTGGAAAAGCAAACATAATAAATAAATTCCTTTTATTATTAATTAATAATTCAATACAAGTACCAAAAGTATTAGCCTCTGAGGCTTACACCAACAAAGGGTGGATTCTACCCTGCTTTTATTACATGTGTGTTTGTACTTTACAGATAAAATGAATGCTTTGCAAAATATCTTTACCATTGCCTCTACTCTGTGAGTAAAACCTAGTCCCTCAGCCCGAAATGTTACCCCTCCTCCCGTTATTTCAACTTCGTCTACCACAACTATTGAGGTTTCTTCGACCACTCCAGTTTTTGGTAAACTTTATCGGTCAAAACTATTGCAACTGGTGATGGTCGACTATGTTACCCTACTCTTATAACAATGAGGGATCGTGATCAAGTCAAATCCCCCTGGATAAAGGTTCACCTAAACAAGCTCATTTGTCTAGGAGTGAAGCTTCAGGGTTGGCCACCCCATTTCTCAAAATGCTCGTCGTCCTTCATACTCGAATTCCTCGTACCCCCGAGGAACTTGTTGTTGATGTCTTTGAGGAGGATCTAAATTTCCTTCAGAATCTTCATGAGGCAGATAAAATGGAGCTTCTTTCTGATGTTACCTTTTATAACTATTGGGTGGCCTCCTTATTTTCTCTTGTTACTAGTAGTCAGAGTTACATCCTAGCCATGGGTAATCCTTCTAAAGATAGGTATACCTGGAAGGAAAAATGTGAAGCTATAAAGGTGAGATGTTCCAAGTTTCAAAAAAAGGTGAGCTTTCTTCAGGAAAAGATGTATTGTGTTGAGATTTTCTAGGAGGAGGCGAATATTCATGGCTCCCCTTTTAATTTATCTTCTAGAATTGATGAACTTGAGGGCTATCTAGAGGCTAAGAAGAAGCATCATCAAGAAAATTTGATTGTCGCTACCGAGGCCCACTCCCTTGCTTACCAAGCTCTAAACAAATTTTCACAGGAGTAGAAGTTTCGAGAGAAACACCAAAAGGCCTGTGATGATCTGGTAGCAGAGCTAAGGAAGAGAGTCGATGACTCACTCCAACAACCCCTGACCAATGTGTATGGGGCCTTCAATTAGGTGGTCGACCTGGTCAAAAATCTTAGTTTAGACGCCTCTGCCCCCTCGGGAAACTGAATCCACTCAAGGTTGTCTAGGACAGAGCTTTGGTGGACAACCGAAGGGAAACATATTATAATAAGAAGGCTTAACTTCTTCTTTTTCTTCTTTTTTCTATAAGTTAGTGGGGATTTATGTATTTGTAAGGATGACAATGTTTATATATTTACCTTTCCTTTTGATTCCTTTATATTCCTATGCATGATGTGCTTTATTTTATTCTGTCATGGTCTCCAATTCATTGTATGCATCGTTACTATTTGAACTAGCTGGTGGTTTTTGTCTCCGTCGTGTACGACTTGAACATCTTATTTTGACTTTTGACACCGTCTATTGTTTTTTCATTTCTGGAATCTGGAGCATCTGCCAAACTCTATGGTCCCGACTAGGAAAAGCAAACCAACAAAGTGTTATCATTCTCAATTTTGATTGGGAAAATTATAGTTGTTCTTTAGTGTCGATAAGAACAGTCCCTGACCAAATAATAGGTTCTTGTCCCTACCATAAGGTGTGTCTTGGTTTGGGGTGGACATCTTTGGGCTCCACCGCCTATGCTCTTGGAGTGGCTAGTTCCTAATAGGGGGTGCACCAACTATGCTTTTAAGCATGTTCACTAAGTGTGGAGTCTGTGCCAGAGGTGCGGTTTTTGTTATCTGAGGACGATTATAATAAATTGTGTGTTTGCAATATTTCTGACATTTAACATATTATTTATTGAAAATTTTCAAAATCGTGAAGAAATTGTATCTCGCTGAGTAGGTAGTGAATTGAAGAGAGCTGGTAGGGAACTTCCCTCGGTCGATATCTCTTTGCAATAACGTACGTCCATCGGGCGACCAATGACTCGGTGTCCAACTGGCCTGCCCTGGTTGTAAAAGTTAGGTCATCTATGAACGAGTTCCTCTTGACCCATCCTTAGAAAGGTCAACTGGGTTTGTTGTCCTTCTCGTGTACTCCTTTGAATATAATGATGGTCTTTTGTAACCCTATGATGTTCAGTCAATGGTATGCCCGAAAAGAAGTCTACCTTCCCAAATCTGGCTGGACTAGCTTCAACCTTGCCTACTTGCGATCATTCCAGACCAGTGACGATAAATGTGATAACTAGTTCCAACTTCATGCTTCATGCTCCAATTATCTTCTCTATTGCGTTTATCTTCTCGTGACCTAGACATCTTAGTACCACTCGATTTTCAAAATGCGACTTCGTATCAATTGTGGTACAAGAGAGGCATTGTGGTGGTGAATCCCACTGAAGATTATCGCATCATGGATCTACATTGACGAATATTGATTGAGGTGGAACAAAATCTAAGGATCTAATGAATCTTTTCATTATGAAGTATGAGGCGATTGTCTTCTTTTCTCGGTGGTTCTAGTAGTGATTTGGATTTGGATCGAGGATTATCCTTTTTTGGAATTTCGTGAGAATTAGGAGTCAATTCCCTAAGAGGGGGCCACTGTTATGTTGTTGAATCGGAATTGGTGTTGATCAATAGTGAAGGACTCTAAATTGGTGTTGTTGATCTCTGGTGCACTGTCGTTGAGTGAACCTATAATGTTAGCATTCCAACGCTCAAGCTAATTCAGAGTTCAAGAATGAGTATTGTGAAGATTGAAGAGTAGAAGCATGTACCTTGAATTTTTATGTCCCAATTTTATGAAAATTTTACCTCATACCCCTACAATTGTACTCGTACCGCTATATTTGAAAATTTTAGACGAAAATGCCCTTCATATAAGTAGTAAAATTTCAAAAAAAAATTCACGTTCCATTTTGAAACTCAAAAACTCTTCTGAAACTCTGAGAACGGAACACATTCTGGAACACTTTTACTTACTCTCCCGATTTACAAATACACACATCGGAACACTTCAAGTAAGTCTTTCGGTTTTATTAAGTACACCATAACACTTTTGAAAACAGTTCCAGTTTTGATTGCGACACACCGAAACACTTTTGAACACTATTCCAATTTTATTGTATTAGCCTGAACACTTTTGAAAAATGTTTTGGGGTTGATTGCGAAACACCATAACACTTTCTTAAATTATTTCAATTTTGATTGTGACACACCAGAATACTTTTGAAAATTGTTCTGGTTTTATTGTATTAGCTAGAACACTTTTGAAAACAGTTCCGATTTTAATTGCGACACACCAGAACACTTTCTTAAACTCTTTCAATTTTTTTCGCGTTTTTACACGCCAGAACACTTTTAGAATGTGTTCCAATTTGTTTTTTATTTTATTTTTTATAATTTTTTTCCATCTTAATATCTATTATTTTTAAAATGCAAACATTAGACAAAGACGGCATGCTTTCTCGTAGGGTAGGACAAAGCGTTTCATAGATTGTGTTAGGAGATGAGGAGCATGTTGGTGCATCTGCATCCGCTCCACAACTTGCTGGATTTCCAGGAGGTTCGTCTGATACGTCTCTTCTAGTTAGGTATGAGCATCATTGTGCTCGACGTATATGGTTCAATGAGGTAAGTAAATGACTATTTTATATTGAATAGATTTTTTAATTTTTATTTGTTTTTAATAATATGTGTATTTTTGTTTTTAAGAGAGATGTTTGAAGAAATAATTGAAAGTTGTAGGACATGGGCTGAAGCTTCAGGGTTGGGTTCCACTTAATCTCCCAAGAGAGATGGAGAGATTGTTGTCTAACTCTGCTCTAAATTCACTTTAGAAAACAAGTTTGTCAAAGATAGACCCGAACTTGGTATCCCCATTTGTAGAGAAATGGCATCAGGAGACATCTTCATTTCACATGTCATTTGGTGAGAAGACGATTACTCTAGATGACGTAGCTTGTATGCTTCACTTGCCCATTCGGGGTAACTTCTGAAGTCCCGAACATGTCACAGAATAAGATGTTGCTCAACTTGTTGTTGACTACTTATGAGTGTCACATGGTGTTGCAACATGACTGGTACGAGCATGCAGGGGTGCTTATTATAAGCTAGAGTGGTTATACCATTTATTTGTAGAGCATCGAGCTTCTTCTAGGTGGGAATATGCGACTAGAACATATATACTAGTGTTGGTTGGTTGCACTATTTTTGCGGACAAGACATTTACGCTTGTCGAGGCATAATATTTGTTGTTATTTGGGGAATTAGATAACCTTCAGGGTTTTAGTTGGGGAGCAGTTGCTTTGGTTACCTCTACGACACTCTTGAAGATGCATCCATGTTCAATTGTAAACAACTTGTTGGATATCCTGCTCTAATTTAGGTATGTATTGAATGTAGTTTACTTTAATTTAGTTTATTTATTAGTTTAGTCTATGTTTTTAATTAAATTTTTTAATTAACAATATTAATTTTGGAACAATGTTAGATTCATGAGTATTTTCCAACACTTGGAAGAAGAGGAGAAAATTGGAAACCATATAATAATCTTAGACTTCCCAGAGCTATGAGATTGTCTTACAATCAAGGAGCCCTAAAGGTGGATGAGTTACGGCCTATTTTGGACGTGTTGACACCTGTTGATGTCATATGTCACCCATTCGAGGATCATAGAGAATGGCGTCAGTTAGACGAGATATGTTTTTACAGGGGGCTAAAGTGGGGTGACACTATTGTTCCCTACTTTTCGGATAGATGTATACCGCCAATTTGGATACAAACAGTATGTTCCACCCTCACCTCCTGGTCTTATTGATGTTGATATTGATGATGACTGGATTAGTTACCATCAGAGTGTTATTAAGGTGATCCGTCTGATATCACAAGCCACTTTTCCATCTGAGACTGATGCAAAATATTTTGATTAGTATTATCGTGTATCACATTCTCGGTTGGTGCCACCCCCTCAGGATGCTCCAAGAGAGGTGCCAGCTCCTGAGTATGAAGTAGGACCATCTGATCCTAGTTGGGCTCGTGTTTCCGTCTTGCTTCATCGTTACCACCAACAAGTTAGTGCTGATGAGAAGGATCCATAATTTGATGATTTATTTGAAGCTTTACATATTTCTCGTTCTAAATGATTTATGTTTATGCTGATGTTTATGCTTACATTTATGACTTTTGTTTTGACTTATGTTTATGACTTATGTTCTAACTTATGTTTATGACTTATGCGATTTTGAGACATATGAAATTAAAACTCAATTACATAGTTTAATTTTCATGTTTTGACTACATATTTTAATACTCAATGAAAAAAAAGCTTTTATGCTAAGCTAACACAATGTGGTAAAGCAGGCGTAAGTTATTGCTAAAGTTGTAGACGTCCTGGAAATCCTAACATCCAAGATGTTGCATCTGGAGACCAAAACTTCTTCTAATCTAATGAGACTGGTGGCAATGAAAACCCCTATTTCATGTTTACCTAGTTAGAAAAGTAAAGTTAGTCACATATTAAAAAAAATTAAATTTAGTCATATATTATAATTAAAGTAAAGTAAATACCTGAACCCAATGATTATGGTCTACTAAACCAATGAACCAAATAGTCGCATTTGGTGAATGTGATCTCGCCATAGGAAGAAAAGTCAAGCACAAATTCCCCAAATGAAGAAGTACAACATTATATCGACTCGCAATTAAGTAACCCATATCTGATAGAGTCAACCACTTCTCTGGTGGTTGTTGACCAACAGTCTCTATCCTTAAAGACCCCCCCTCACTTCTGATATACAATCTTCAAATAACTTATCATACAAA